TGTCGTGAACTCGAAAGCGACCGCCGTGTTCTGTTCATACCCGAGCACGGCCCGAATAACCCCAAGTCGATACCAGCACGTCGTCATGTGTGAGACGACGCAGGAAAGTGACATGAAAGACGTTGATGATGATACGAAGATAACAAACTCTACTCACCCTCGTTAAACAATATGAATGCAGAGCACTGTATGACTTTGGGTGAGTATTGTGCCGCGTAGGTTGCCGAACGCCACCTAATGCGGACTTCAAACGCGGGAAACCTAAACACGGTAAGGGCATCAACACTTCGTGAGCAAACTTTGGAGGTGTGAGGACAGAGCGTTCGCCGCAGGAGCTTTGATCACCGACAGCCTCCCTAGAATAAGTGCCTCCAATACTCCAACTACGAGCGCTTTTACAGATAGATAATAACAAATGCAACGCATCTCATTCTAAAGAGCGCCACAGAGCTCAACAGTAAGATTATAGACTGTTGATGCTATCAAAACCGGCCTCGGCGAGGCTTAGGGACCGGAGTTTTCGGAGAAATACATAGAAGACGGTCGTGATTAAGATTGCGATTGGCGCAAATGGCCTAGGGCGAGCAATTGTTGTTAGGTGACCTCACGGGATGATGTCCATTATGCCGAAGCTGACGATTTCTGGAATTCTGGAATGGTTTGCGTTCGTAAGCCGTTTGGAACTTGATCGCGCGCTTCTGACTGTTCAAGGGGGAAGGAGTAAGCGACGGTGGGCGAGAGGGGCCGCCAGCAGGTGATGGTAGCCAACAACATATCGGAGGTCCGCATGTTGTAAAGTTCGCAGACCAAACTCCCTTCTTCAGCTTGGTGTTTGTGCGACGAGGAGAGAGCAAATCGGTCTAGCTCGAGTTTAGCTCGATAGGAGGGGTGTACAGAAGGCAGGAAGGCGCACGGTCGTGTTCTCGAAAATGTGAGTTCGAATGGACATCCTGCTGTTCTGAACATGAAGCCTTCAACCAGCAGTGCGAGCCCTCAGCGCCTCGATGTCTAGTAGTTCACACGTTCTCAAATGGAACAAGTGGACTCCACTACAACTTCGAGCTTGTGTTGGAGATCCGGGGCTGCTAGTTCAAGGTGGGCCAAAAACCTGGGGCTATTCTCGGACCTTCTTATCCACGAACGTCATTTTCTTATCGCTTGCGGGACCCTTCTACAAAGTACACTCCTCCCTCATCCACAACGCGCAGTTTCGACTGTTCAGCAGTTCCATGACGCCTTATTTTTCGTGAGACCTTTGGGGTACATGTAACACGTCTTCTCGAGTATGTTTCAGTTGTTTGATAAGTTGGATCTACGCGCGTAGACATTGCGCCTGGACATTTGATTAAGAGAGAAAGGTTGATCGCAACAAGTTGCATTTATGCGATCGAAGAATAGGAAGGAACGAGGGTACCGCTTCCGAATAATCCCGAGACCTGGTTCCGATCCGTCTGGCTCACCTCGCCCGGCAAACGCTCGACCAACATCCACGACGAAATATACAAAACACGACTCGTCCACTGAGAAAGAACTCTCCAGCACATCTGATGAATCGGTAAATGAGTGGCTAGGCTGGTAAACTTGGCTAACTAGACGAAGCCGTCATCCAGCATTTACGTAGGTAGCTGCGTCTCATGCAGGGCAGCGAAACGAGAGTCCGAAGGAACAATGAGGCCTTATAAACACTCTAATACAAGCGAAATGCCATGGCAATTATGATACTTCCCTGGGGACGAGCCACCCAGGACTTCCATATTTCGAGCGACGATGCTGTCATATAGATCCTACTGTCTCCACACATGATGCATCTCAGCCCGGCATAGAGCTATGATCAAGATCTGAGTCACCGGTTAGCTTCAACCCATATCAGCAGTCGATAGGAGCCTTACCACTGCTGGATCCACACCACCAGCAATCCGAACCTTCCAAGAGCTTCTGTCAACTTGACTGAGGTTGGAGATATCGTTCGACTCTTGCAGCAGCAGTTCGGCGATACAGGCGTCTTTGGAAAATACCCTAGTCGTAATTGCGCTCTGGTCCTTTTGTCGGACCTGCAGCACCACATCGTCTTCCTTGTCTTTTCCGGTGGGAACGACCATGTCAAGGTCCGATCGGCGCCCAGAAGAGACATGTTTCAGCTCCGCTATACGCTGACCATCGGGACTTTCCACCGTCCAGAGGTTCTTCATTGCCGACCCATGATGTCGTAGGTCGAAGACAGGCACACCCGAAGTGTCTTTCACCTGTCGACGCCATGACCACGACTTCATTGGCCCAGGTCCTCCTCCAACGAAGAGCTCTTGGCCTTTCTCATCCACAACAGTGACGTTTGAGAACAACCGATCGTGGCATCTGACATAGATGCTGGTCTCTTCATTCGCGATGGGGGCATCGGAAATCTTGAAAGGAAGTGAGCAAAACTCGAGAACTGCCGCCATGTCGACTGCCAACTGAACAATGGATGCCGAAAGGTTTCAGAGGTAAGTTGGGTGCGAGTATTCGCAGTTGTAAAAGCTGAACAATGCGACAAGAGAGATGGATATGCCTCGTCAACCGCTCGGTGGAGAATGAGAGGGATGCAGGTCGGAACTCGCATGCGCCATAAAAATTAACTGCGCAACTCAGCAGCTCTTGGCTAAGACAATGTGACTCGCTATATGCGATCTGCGATGTCATCCCTTACACAAGAGACCCCTCTCAAACATCGTGATCGGGTTTAACCGCTGCCTGGACCGCTTGTCCATCAGCACGTGGTCTCGGCATAAGCCGCCAGGGCAGAATCATCCGCATACACCTCTTGTTGCCTTCTCCGCAGACGACTTGAACTCGCGGCATGTGTCTGGTATCAAGGATAGAGCGAGGGTAATGTCTCGGTGATTATAAATCTCATGTTGCTGCAAGCCATGTCACGCTGACCGGCTGCCAACTGCATTTACCCAGACGATTTCCTATTTGTGCTTCAGCGCAGATCTTTTCTGAAGACGGAGAATACTACTGCACCGGTGTCTCGCCCAAATCGAGATTCTCAATCCAATCCTTGTTCTAGTTTTCTCCATTATGGCTATGGTATTCTCTAGCTATGCCATATTCATACCACCTGCGAGTACCGAAAACGGAGATGAGTCAGCGATTTCACCTCAGACTACGGCCTGATTCATCGTGCTCATCGCTGCTCGGGAATGAGCAGATACAAAAACTCTGGGTCTTTCGTACATCATGTCCTTGCCACCGCTTCATTCTGGTATGCAACTCCAGCTCTATTCTGATACGCACATTGTCGAACAAGGGATTGTCAACACGTTTTTTCATCAATCACTTGCATTGGACGATGGAGATGCCAGCATCTCCTCGACGAACGGCCAAGCAATCCCAAAGCGGACGATTACGCTGCTACTTGCTGCACCTCTTACCCATCTTGTCCACTTTGAGCACACCATTGATGATGTGGAAAGGGCTTTCGGCTCTTACCGCTTCTTCAGTGCCAATGGTATGTGTCATCTCGGAGTCGATGGCACCCGCTTTCCATAGAGGGGATTTACTCTTCCTCTCCAATCGGAGCAATCATATCCAAGCCGGCGATATACCCGTTGTATGGTTCGCTGGCAGAGCTTTGCCAATGGTTCATCGGGCGATCAAAGTCTCTGACATTGGTGGAGATGATGATAATTCCTCGCCAAGGTAAGACTGCACCCACAACTTCGGTGTATCGACGTCACGTCTAATGTAACATAGGCAGTCCATAGTCACTAAAGGTGACAACAATGAAGTCGATGACGTTCCCATGTATCCTGATGGGCGAACCTTTGTAACGAGAGACGAAATCATGGGCCTGGTCGTGGGATACATACCGTACCTTGGATGGGTTTCCATTGCACTGCAGAAGGTCGTTGAGGCAAAATATCTCATGCTTTTTTTTGTAGCTGCTGTCATGTTTGCCCCCTAGCTCAACAGTAGCTCACCCCCGGCTTCACTTCTCGGTATCTGTGTCTCCGCAAGCCCGAATGTCAGCCTACTAGTTCAGTATTATCTATAGTCTTTTGCACAAGTCTGTGTGTCTCGTATCCGCATGTAGATGCCATGGATAAATTTGATGGCCTGTTCAGTGATTGGGCGGGGCGTATCAGGCACTTCTAACGTAAGATAATCCTCCACCATAGATCTTGTAGGGGTTACTTTTATGCGTACTAACCCAAGGAATTTGCCGAAATGTACTCATGTAAGACAGATCGTTTACCTGAACTACAGTCGTTGATACTATTCTGATGAGATGACATGCTTCGCGGCAACACCGATTGGACGTATGAGACGTTTGTCAACCGAGCATCGAGATGCCACCTGAGGGTACCTAGGTAATGACGTTGATCAATCGATGGAATGTCAAGCAAAGAATATTGATATGCATATTGAACGCAAGTGTTGCAGCCATTGTGTAGCTTGTTCAGACTTATATTGGTAAAGGGATGCAGCTCCGTCCCATCTTTGTAACCATTGTTCTACAACTACGATACCATTGTATTACGCGGAATCTATCAAGGATGGTAAGACATAATCACATCACGCAAGTTGATGCCCGTCTGGATAATGCCTCGCCGGAAAGGGATCTCGGGAATGTTTTACTTCATTCCTGCACGATCCCAGGCTTGGGCGTCCCACGATCACCTCTCAACATAATGGATACGGGTGGATAGTCTTACAAAGCTCATCAGTTCTATCCTTGATAGGTCACAACTACTGAATCACCTCATCGGGGGAGTTCTTTTGACTAAACAGCCCCCAATTGCTGCACTAACGGAAGCACCTGTCTTACATGCAAGTAAGCTTCTTGATCAAAATCTGACGGATAGCTTGAAGGAAAGCTCTTGGAAATATTTCGTCCAGGAAGCCGAACCAGGTATAAAGCCTGGCTGGTTCACCATACAACTGTGTTTCCAGCACGCACATCTCTTCATCAAGCAAGGCAACAAGTCCAGCAAAGAACTCTTCAATCCAGTATCTTCAATATGCTTTCCAACGCCAAAAGCCTCATTGCTCCCATTGCCCTTTTGGCATTGGCCCAGCACTGCCCTGCGCCCTTCCTCGCCGCCATTCCTGCTGCTACCGCTGCTGGTATTGGTGCTGTTGTAAGTCCGCCCACTCACAACCAAAGACAGAACCCTTACCCATATCACACAGAGCGCTGCTGTCTCCGCAGCAGGCACCGTTGCCGGCAGTGTCGCCACTGCGATCAACGGCAAGAGGGCCCGCGATGGCACACAAGTCATCCACGCCCGCGAAAACTGGGCTGGACTCCACAGCTACGTATCCAAGCGCCAGGATGAGGAGTTCGGCACTGGAACCGCTTGGCAAGACTGTGCCGATCAGCTCAAGGGAGCTGACGTGACTTTCGAGGGAACCGGTCCTGGTGGTAAGTCCGATCCGCTCTATTACTGCAGCATGTCAGTGTACTAACGTCGTCGTTTTGCAGTCATACTTGTCAGCGGTATCCCCCCTGCGTGTATGACTTTGGCCACTGTCATTACTGGCAAGTTCAACGCTGGTAACCCCGTCCCCCAGGGCACCGATTCGATCAGCTTCACTGGTCTTTCGAACGAGGACGTTCAGGCTATTCAGGATGCGCTTGATGCCAGGTCTACTTAGATGTGACGCCCAGATCTCACTCTCAAGCTCTTGATGGAAGTGCGCTTGGTTGAACTATTGTAGCTTTCTTTTCGGTTGATCACACACTCGTTTGGTTGTACGTACATGCACTGAAGTAGAAAAAAAAACTTGGCCAAGATACCCTAGTCTGCCGTGATGTGACTTGAACTTTCTTTCCCACTTGAAGTGTGATAAAGCATGAGATCTAATCGAGACGGAATGGCGGTTGCAATAAGTGGAATCGTATCTTCAATGCACACGCACCTCCGCGTGCATGACTATATCCAGTGAGGAGACTTACCAGTTGACAAGGCGCACTTAACTGTGTGGCTCCTCGAAGCGTGCTGACAATCTGCGTCAGCTTGCGAGTGTGTTTTGCCGATAAGAAGGCAGACAGCCCCGAAAGGCCTCGCTCCTTCCTCATCCACTTTCGTCCCCACTCCATCATCATGCTTCTCCATCTCCTCATCCCGATCATTTGCCTAGTCATCTCAATCCTTATATTCCACCTCGCGTTACACTGCCGCAGCCAAACCCATCGATATTATTTCCTACCTTTCTTCCTCCTCTTTGCCTCCCTCTCCATCACATCCTCCACACACTTCATCTGGATACCCGGCCTGACAAGTCTCTGGACCCAAGCCATGGTGCTGAACATCCCTCATGTAATCTGTCTACTTTACATACGACAATGGCCTGCTCCGCGGCTACCTGCTACTTCACCATCCCCCAGTCGGTTTGCTCAGTTGCGACACCAGTGGGAAGCAACGTATCGCTTGTGGGGTAATCCGCAACTCATCGGTGTTAGTCCGGACTCCAACACTACCAGCGATACAGACAAGTCTAGTCAGCCAGTTTCAGTCTTCCTGTTCTCACGACTAGTAAAACTGCCGATATACTACTACCTCAACTTCGAAATCCTACCCGCTCTCGTCGCCTCGGTCTTCGGCGAGATATACCCCGAAGACGTCTCTGAAGAGAAGCAAATACTATTCCGCCACTGGCACGACGTCTCCACGCGAGACCTGATGATCCGGGCCTACGTATCTGTCCTCTGGATCTGGCAAAGCGCCGTGTACCTAGACGGAACCAACGCCATCCTAGCTAGTTTCTTCGTCAGCATCGGCTTGGACCGCCCCTGTGATTGGCCTCCTCTCTTCGGCAATCCTTCATCCATCGCTTCGCTGAGAACATTCTGGTCTCGATTCTGGCACAAGATTGCTCTTCAGCCGTATACGTGTATCGGAAGTGCTCTTGCTCGCCAGCTCAACTTCCGTTCCGGCTCATACGAGTGTAAAGTGTTTGTTGCTTTTGTCGTGTTTGGGCTCTCTGGGGTATCTCATGGGGTTGTGAGTTGGCAAATTGGTCGTGATGGGTGGACGGACGTCTGGTGGTTCATGGTCAACTTCTTTGCCTGTTTGGCGGAGACGATCTTCTTGCAACAATTTATGCCTGCATTTGGTTATCAGAGAGAATTACAGTCAATCAAAGAGAGTTGGTTGGGCGCAGTGGCCGGAAGAGCATGGGTTTTCGCGTTCTTCTTCTGGAGTGTTCCCAAGTGGCAGTATCCGGCCATGTACAAGGACGCTTTCCAGGCAAGACAGATGGCAGTATGGAGCTTAATATTCTCGAAGATGACTGTGAGCGCCGACAGCAGCTGAGCGAGAAACCGTATCTGTTTCTCAGTATGTAGCATGCATGGAAAAATGCTAGCGATGCGTTCAGAACTGCTGTAAAAGCCACATACTGCACAGAGACTCCACACGCCACCCAGTGTGATAGAATTACCCACAAACACCAGCCCATGCAGCGAATGCGAATGCGAAATACGTAAATAGCCTCCCAATCTAGAAGCGAATGACTCCTCTCATCTCTACTCTTTCTCGGCATCCATCGCTGGCGGCGGTAAGCCGGCGGGGCTGATTTCCTTGTTTAGCGCCAAGCGCTCCGGACTCACAATCTCTCCAGGGCTGATGATGTTGCCATGTGCATCTGCAATGGGGATATGCGAGGCGTCTTCGTCTCTCTCGTCGGATCTGCCGCGCTCTTCGCTCTCGGTCATGTTGTGCTCTTTGCCTTTCACGCTGCTGCTTCGCTCAAAAGCTTCGGGCACCTTCTCACTGAGGTCGATGGCAACGAAGGATTTGGGAAGTTTGACACTAGACGACGTCAGTAGGAGTTTCTGGCGCAATCCGAGATAGGTGCATTGTGCTTACGTGTGGAATTTTGCCCGGAGAGTCTCGAGAACTTCTTTCCAGTCTTGGTGGAGAGTGAGACTGCGACGTGGTGCAAACCCGATCATATGGCGTGAGTCCAGTTGTCTGTCCATGTTAGCGACGGTCGTATTGCGTTGCGTAGATTTCTTTTACTTACACATCGAGCGGAGCGAAGGCGTGGCATCCTGGCGATAGTGTGATGCGAATGCTGTAGTTGAAGGTATGCGGCTTATCGTCGATACTGGCATTCTCCGATTCGTACAGCTCGAAGTTGATCTGTGACAAGTAGTCGAGCTCTGGGATAGCATTGCGTTCGATCTTGGTCTTGATACCGCCCTCCAGGATGCAGTTGAGCAGTGTGTAGATATGCGACTCCTTGGTAAAGTAGAAGAAACACTTTGGCATGTCAGATGCCTGAAGCTCTTCTAGGTCTCCAACAATCTCTTTGAGAAGTGGTAGCGATGTGAGCAAGCCAATCTCTAGCTTCTCCTCACTCTCGATACCGTATTCCTGTGGCCCGATGTAGTCGAACAAAACCTTGCACAAGTGATACATTTCGCGCAGCTTGACCAGTCTCGCATCGGTCTGCGCTTTGGAGGCTGCAGTTCCAAGACCCGAGTACAGCTTGAAATAAGACTCGTGTACATAGGACGGAGGCGCTGGGGCTTTGACGGTGATCTCGGACTTGCGCCTGAAACCCATACGGTGGGAGAGGCTACCGCGGTCATGGGTCTTCTCCGCGCTTTGCTCCTTTGCCTCGGCCTTCAGCTGCGCATCTGACGGTGTCGGACCAACCGGTATAGACTTGGCCGAGCTGTTGTCGGGTGTGGTCTGCTTCGATCCGTCTGCAACCGAGTCTTCATCCACGAAGCTGGCATCGGGAGTGAACACCCATTCAAGGAAGGCGCGGTTATGGAGAGCATCGAACTTCATGGTGTCGTATAGCTCAGAGATCTTGCTTGGGTCGACTTTGTCTGCGTCTCCAAATTCCTTGAACAGCTTCTCCCATCGCTCCTTGAACAACTCTGGCCCTTCATTACAGCACCAGCGTGTTTGGATGTGATTGACATTAGTGTACTGGGACTGCCCTGACGTTTGTCCTTCCGATGGTGGAGAGTTCAAAGCAGCTAGTGAAGAAATGGCTTCTGACTCAATCTTCTTGAAGTTGTGGTTCATGACACGCTGGTGGAATTTGATCAAATCCACAACCTGCCGAACGACAATGTATGGCTCTGGTACGTCCTTTGGCCATGCGAACTGAGGCGGAGCTTTGTCGCCTGCGCGTAGCAAGGTCTTGAGCTTCTTCTTAACTTTGTCCATGACGTCCTTTGCCGCGTTCGAGTCATCTAGAAGGTCCTTGCGTACTGAAATGTGTTCAGACTGGTACTGCTCCTTCTCCAAGAACGACGCTCCGAAGATTTGTGCGCTGGTGGTCACTCGCCGCTCTGAACTGCTGAAGATGTGGACATCATCTAATACGTCCCGGTTCATCAACAAAAGATCGTTACGGAAGTTCGCGCCCATGTCCTGCGTCTGATGCCGAGCGGAGTGCGTCGGTTCACCTCCCCACTTGATAATCAGTTGGAGCTTATCAAGGATCATGTTGTTATCTTGCGCAGTGATGCGAGACAATGTGACACCGGACATGGAATCACTTCGGTTCTTGAGTAGCTCCGGTTCGTCCTCGCCGGTAGCGGCAGTCTTTTCCGTGCCCTCAGCAGTTGTTGACTCTGGCTTTGGGGCTTCCGGTACCTCTTCGGGCAGAGTCTCTCCAGGTAGCAGCTCTTCCTTCCGTCTTTTGCGGAACATGGGCTTGATTTGAATTTTGGTTCCAGGCCAAGCGCCCTTCTTGTTCAGATACAGTTGCAGCTCGCGCAGCTTCTTAGTATCCTCGAGACCTTCATCTAGAGCTACCTTAACTGCATCACTCACGCTCTGCAACGCTATCTCTCCGATCAGCAATACTTCAGCCTGGTGGCCCTTGAGCAAGTCGACGAATGGTTTAGAATGGAACGTGTACTTGAACTTCTGTTTCGGGGTCCTGTCGGCATGGCGAATGACTGACACGACACCTTTGAGCTTCCATTGCGCCGCAGTTGCCGGAGGAGGCACTTCCAGATGATCTTCCGACATTGACCTTTCCTGTTCAAGATGCAGGTCGTCATCGTCATCGAAGGCAGGCGGAAGCGTAATCTCGGGTTCCGACATTGGACCTTCTGGGGTCGAGGTAGAGGTAGTGGTGATTGTTGCGGGACTCAGTACTGAGGCGGGGTTGGGCTTCTCGAAACTAGGTGAGGATGCGATGGGCGTAGAGCTGAGTGATGTGTCAGGTGACGAAGGCATCGTGTTGGACTGGCGCATATGTTGAAGATTGTGAGCATGGTTTCCCATTCTTGACATGCTTGGACTCTTGAACAGCTTTCCAAGCGTCTTGCGATGGCCTGAAGCGCCCTTTATAGAGTTGCCAGCACTATCTGTACCAGCTTGCGCATCTGCAGCCGCGTGTTGAGCGGCATCCTTGCGTTGTTTTCGCGCAATTTCCTTCAAAAACATCTCTTTAAGAATATTGGCCGCCTTGTCGTAGTAGTCGCCGTTATCTTTCACGAAGCTCCACCCGTTGACGTCGATAACATAGCTCTGATCTCCAGTGCGCAGTAGATCGAATCCACACACTCGTTGTCCAAACCCTTCGGAGATCTTGGCTGCTATCGCTGCCTCGGACTCGCTGAGTTTTGTAACATAGCGGACTTCCTTGCCGCTAGGATTGCGCTTAACAAGACCGTCAACGACAGGCGATTTTCTTGTTTCGGCATGGCAGAAGGTTGGTCCGACCGTATATGCTTTAACATCCTCTGAGTTTTCTACCTGGAGAAATTGCTCGTAGATGTAGCTGCCTGTCGGCTCAAGAATGCCCCTGGGTACGTCGAGAGTTTCATCCTTTTCTGAGCTCTTGTTGTTGATCTTCCTGAACAGTCTCCGACCGCCGCCTCCATCTTTCTTGTGGAAGTAGATGTGTATGTTGTGGTCTTCGCCGCTCACTGGCTTCTCAACGAATGGCTTGGTAAGAGTAACGCCGTCGACGCGGATCGTGTTGTTGTCGTCGATGAGTTCAACGGATTTCGGAGCCGGGGAGCCTCCACCAGTGCCATCTTCAGGCCCTTCCAGCTTCAGGCCCGTTCTTTCGTACAGGGCCTTGGCGAATTCAGCCGAAGGTAGCTTTGGTCCACCGTCGCGACTGACATCAATACGTTTCGGCGTAGGAACGTTGAGTTTATCCAGTATACCAAGACACAGACGGCGATCCCACAGCACCTGTTGCATGGGTAGGTCGTTTACGCAGAAGGGCTTTCGCAATTTGGTGTAGGCGATTGCCTTGTCCAGTGGGAAGCCATCGGAGAAGAAGGAGATGAGGAAATCGCAGACAGGCCAGTTCTCGACGGCCTCGTCCAGGATGATCTTATCGCCAAAGATCTTAACTTCAAACTCGTCGACCAGCTTGCCGAAGATGTTGCGCGCAGGCTTGCTGCGTGCCTTTGACTCGAGCGCACACACGCCAATTATGCCCTTGGTCGGCTTCTTCTCTCTCATCTCCCGGCTTGCCGGACTGCTGCTGGTCGCTGTGCTTCCGCTGATGCGTCTCTGGGCTGTCCGGCTTCGCGAGCGGCGGGGCTGCGTCGATAGAGGGGGCTGTCCGGCGTGGGGAGAGGCGGGGTGGGCCGGGGCGGTGTTGGGGCTCGCCGTCTGGCTGTTGGCGGGCTGGTCTTGGGGGAAGAGCAATTGCGTAGGCGAGGTTTTGGTGCCGAGACTGCCATTCTGGCTCGAGGTAGTGACGGAGAGCGACGAGGTGGCCGTCGTGGTGCCGTGTGGGTTGTCCATTCTGGCTGGGTAGGGTCAGTGGGTCAACTTGGAATGTCTGGAGTGTGCATGTGAAAAAGCTCATGGCGCGGCCGTGATGGCCCATGACGTACGTACCGTCTGGTTCTGAGCCCGCCACGGAACTTTTTCCACTCCAACTGTAGCCGCGGTTGGAAATGGCAGAAACGAATGAGGATATTGATAGTCGCTTCGACTCTGTTGCTGCAATGCCCGCGTCAGATCGCGGCTGTCGGAAGGAGTCCGGCAGCAGCAGAGGATTAACTGGGGCGCTTGCAAGACTTCCCCGGGTGCTCTCTAGCGTGGGCGTGGCATCCGAGTCGTCGAGAGCGGAGCCAGACCAGGCATGTCCAAAATACTCAAAGATGCTGCTATCAGATGCCTTGGACGGGCGGCGTGCGGGCAAGCTCTGTCGAATCGCGGCGGCACCGAGCGAGGGGACGGACACGCTGGGACGCTCTACATTGCGCCCGCCCGTCTCAGGCTCGCTCGATCTTGCCTTCTGGCCGCCTGCAGATGCGCCGCTCGCACTGGAGAGCTGTTGCCATGATCGTGTGCTCTCGGAACTGGCT